AGCTCTCCCAGCCCCTTCACGCCGCTGCGCGAGGGCCGGCCTTCTGGGAAAGCACCCCGAGGGCCCTCGTCAGCGGGGAAGTGGGCTTTCGAAGTAAACATTGGCCGAGAACAAGTTGACCCAAGGGGCCTGCGGCTGTTCCCGGTCTGCTGCTGTCTCCTTTTTTTGGTAACCGTGTTACCGGGTTTGTGTGAAAGCTTCCCATCCAGCGCTCTGTGCGCACTTAGCTCCATGATGGTGATTCCAGGCCCCCTCCCTGTGAGAGCTCTGTTAACTCCCTGGCCTGCCTGGGTCCAGGTTGTTCCGCCCTCCTGCCCCTTTCTGCCCGCTGGACTTTTGTTTTTGGGCAAATGCTGCCCTTGTCGTCTCAGAGGGGCGCTTCACTGGCAGGCTCCGGTGTTGTTCATTACTACATAGGCCTCACTGTGGTTTGACTGAAGGGTGATGATCCCCAGGGGTGGGTTCAGATCGAGGTCTGAAGGGTGACTAAGGGCCCTGGAGGCCTAGTGGTCACATACTAGGCAGATCACCGCAAGGTCAGCAGTTTGAAACCACCAGCCAGCCTCTCCGTGGGAGAGAGATGAGAGGGAAGGGTCATTCTTGGAAAGCCACAGGGACACCCTTCTCTGTCCTGTAGGCTTCCTGTGAACTGGAATCGAACCAGTGGCTGTGTGTAGGTTCGGTCCAGGATCTTCTATTGTGTTCCCAGAGCAGAGCAGTCAGTAGTGGTAGCCGGGCACCATCGAGTGCTTCTGGTCTCAGGATCGTGGAGGCTGTGGTTTGGGTGGGCCATTCATCCTTTGAACGGCTTCTTTCCTTAAAGGTTTTTTTTTTTCCCCTTTAATTAATTTTCTTTACTTTGTTCCATACAACCAGAGACTGGTCTTTTAGAAGGCCGCTTGAGAACCCTGCCGCAGTCCTTCATATTAAAGTAAAAACAACCACCAAAAAGCAATCACTTGTGTGTAAATAGATTTCTTATTTAAAAGACTTGATTCTTGAGAGAAAGAAAAAGTAAATCCCGAGACTGCGCCATGTGGTCAAAGCTGCGCCTTCTTCTGGTCGCTGATGGGTTTGTGTGTGCGCTAGCCGCGGAGGGCCGGGCATGCTGCTGCTTCCAGGTACTGGCAGAGCTTTGCTGTGTAGGTCACCATGGAAGCGTTCCAGCAAAATTGGGCTCTGATTCAGGGGAACTTTGAGGTGATAAAATCAGGGTAGGAGGGGGCCTCTTGGCAGCCTGTTGCTCAGAGGACTTTTGAATTTCCCCGTGGTGGTGGGAGCGAGGTTGGGGAAGCCACCCCACCACTCCACTCTGGGCCGGCAGTGCAGCAGCACAGGAGGAGTGTGTCTATTTCAGTGGGTGGCTTCTCTGTGCCCACAGCAACCCCTTGGGACATTGGGGAAAGGTCCTCGCTGGAACACAAGACATGTAGGCGATTTCGTCTTTCCCCTTTCTCTGTTTGAACTGTAAGAAACATTCCTTTGCGATGGTTTTGGCCCTGGAATTGATCAGTGACAAACGTTGGGACATTCCACATTCTTTCAGAAAGGGCAGTGTGTGTGTGTGTGTGTGTGTGTGTGTGTGTGTGTGTGTGTGTGTGTCTCCCCACGGGTGCAGTTGTGTGCCTGCAGGTTTCGTCTTGATTAAGTGGAGAAATAATAGCTGTCTTTCTGGGTGGGTGAGTAAGCCAGAAACTCGGTTTCTTGGGCATCAAGTCAGAAGCGTGTGTGTTACAGCCGTTGGCCATGTGACAGTCCCGAGGGCGGGCACTGGGACTGTGGGCGAGTGTTGAGTAGTTAGTAACGCAGGTTTCTGATGCGTCCTGTACCAGATCCTGTGTGTTGGGGGTTGAGCGGCTCTGTCTCAGCCACTGGCTCTCCCCTCCGAGGAGGGCGCTGACCTTCAAGCTGCTCCTCTCTGAGAATGATGCGATTTCTTGGAACTCCACAGTCACTGATTCATTGATAATAGTTCTGTGTAGTCATGAGCTTAAGAGTATTTTAGGTTTTACTTGCCAGTCTGACTCAACTGCTGGCGTGGCGTGGCGTGGCGGGTTGGGGGGGCAGGGGACAGCAAGCCGGCCCGGCCTTTGACAGTGTGGTTTCCTTTTCGGCTGGCATGGAGGTGGCCACAGAGGTAGCAAGCTCTGCTTCTGGAAATGACTTCTCCTGGAGGAGCTGGCCGTTGGGCTGTTTCCCCTGGGGAGGGCTCCTCCCCTTCCATTCTGGTCACACACCACTGACCCAGTCATTCACTTGCCCCTAGGGCCGCCTGGGACAGAGGAGGCCGGTGAAGCCTCAGCCCCGCCTTCCTGGCACCCCAACACCTCCCTCCCCCACCCTGATAAGCAGTTACGGTAAAGTATGGAGAAGAAAGTGATGAGAAGGTTGAGGGTGACAAGGTTCAGTGCTGTGGTTTTAAGGCGGGGCATGAGCAGGCTAGGTGAGGAGCAGAGAGAGCAGGTATTGAGGGCTAAAGGCAGCTCGAGGCCCCCCTGAATGGGGGGGGTGGCTGAGTAAGGGAAGTGCGATAAGCCAACCCCCAGCCCAGAGCCCTGGGGAGCTAGCACTGTGCTGTGGTGCTGTGTATGCAAGGCCGCGAGGGCTCATGGGAAGTCAGGGGCAAGTGGGAAGAGTCTGGGTGGGTTAGAGCCAGCACTAGTGGGGGTGGGGAGAGCGGGTGGTGGCAGGGGGCGATGAGGCGGTGGGCGATGCTCCTCCCAGAGCCCCAGGCTTCTGAGGAGGGAGAGGGGAAGGCGAGGGTGAGGCACTTGTGCAGGTGCACCCAGGTGGAGGTGGGCAGCACTCAGCTGACGGTGGCAGACCTGGGGCACAGAGGGGGAGACGCTGGGTTTTTGCAGTGGCCCAGTCTTTGACTCTGTTTGAAGAAGACAGGAGCCTAGTGGGAAACGCACTGAAGATGCCGCACCCGATCCTGAGCCCGCCAACCCGGCGAGCCCGTGTTTCTGGGAAAGCCTGCTGGCCTCACTGACTCCTCACACCATTTTCAGTTTGAGCTGGATGGGCAGGAAAACACAGCCTTCTGTTCTAAGTGTCTGAGCGTGTGTATGTGAGAGAGAGAGAGAGTTGTAGGGCAGGGCCTTTCACATCTCTGGGTTCGCTGGTGTTTCTGGAGTGCTCTTCCGGGCAGTGGCAGGTGAGCGTGCTGTGGGCACGATGTTGATGACGGCCAGCAGTCGCTTCTGGGAGCCTTGCAAGCTGGGACCCATTTCCCCCTCTTCCTCGGGGTTTGGTCCAGCCACCTCTTGACGGCTTCACGCTTGTAGAGTGGATAGAAAGGGCTATTTGGAATCAGCATCGTTCCCTCCCTGACCCTACAAAATGGATTTTGTAGTGACCGGAAAGATTTGCAGTGGCCGGCTTTCCCAGCTGTGGGTGTGTGAGGTGGCCATGACCCCAGGCTGCCCAGAGTGCGTCCCAGCGGGTGATGGGCAAGTCTGGGTGAACAGATGTATACCACAGGGCAGACATGCTGTAAACATTGACCTGTCCCCTTCAGTGGGCTGGGGGAGAGTCTGGGCGCTGGGACATCCTGCTCCACCCTTTGTAGACTGATAGCCCCATGGGGCTCAACTTCCTTTTAGGGGGATGAACAGAGCCAGTCTGGTCACCCCTGGGTGGCGGCATCACCTGTTTTGGCATCTCCAGGAATCCATGCTGGGCTCCCTTTCTGGGGTTCTGCCTCACGTCAGTCCTGAGAAGCCTCTCAATTTTCTCAGGAAATGCCTGATTACTACTTCTTTGTCCTGGTCCCTCCCCGTTAGTTACACTGAAACGTGTGGCGGGGGAGGGGGGAGGGCGGGCAATGCTTTCTTAAAAAGCCCTTTCTGGAAACACAGCAGTGGGGGTGCTGCTACTTCCCTTCTTGCCAATCGTGCGCGTGTGTGTGTGGTGACACTTCTCTCAATTCCAGAAGGCTCCGGGCCCACGGCCAGGAACGCGGCTCGAAGGACACAGCCCCTGGGTGTGACCAGAACCTCATGGGCCTGCTGGGAAAAGTGGCTGGACTTCCTCCTGTCCATTAGGGACCTCATGTGTCCTGGGTCCATGCTCAGGACCCCTGATGGTGATGCAGAGGCCCTCTGCATCCCTCACTGAACCAGGGCAAGGGGTGGCCCTTCCAGACAAAGGGCCCATGGTGGCCCTGGTCTTCTCAGGAGGCAGGTGCAGCTTCCTGACATCTGGGGGTGTGCACACCGCCTGCCCCGCCCTCCACAAAGAGGAGATCTGCTCCTGCCTTCCCACTGGTCCCAGCCCTCCCTCCCGGGTCAGTGCCACCAGGGAGGTCGGGACAAAGTCCACTGAAGCCCGAAGCCACGGGTGGGCCACCCTTTTCAGGCCCACTGCGTGCGGAGGGCTGTGGGGTGTTGTGTAGCGTTGATGGGGCTGGGCTCTGACTGTTCCCTTGCTCCAGGAGAGGCAGCAATGGCCCAGCCCTATGATTCCCTGGAGCTCCGAGCCCTGGATAGAATGGGAGCCCAGGGTGTCCTGGCTCAGTTCTCTGTCCCGCTGTTTGATCAGGTCACTGCAGTCCTCCCTGCCCTGGGCTATGTGGTCTCTCAGTAACCTAGGGCGGTAATGGGGTGGGGTGAGGTCGGTAATGGGGTGGGGGGAGGTCATCAGTGTAGGAGATCAGTCTCTAGAGGTCAGGGTCACCAAGCCTGTGAATTAGGGGGCTGCTGGGAGTCAGGGACCAACTTTCTCCGAGAAACTCCCGGAGCTGCGTGCAGAGCCGGGACTAACCCTAACCCAAAGCCCAGGCCGGGCTGCGGGGAGGAAACTGCCCAGCAAGCTAGGTGGAAACTGTGTTGTGGGTGTGATTGGAGGCCTACCACCTGGGTGTTCCCTGTCCGGGCTCAGGAAAAGCTGGGCTGTGGGTACAGTTGTCGGCCACTGATTGGGGTGGTCCTGGCCTGGGTCTGGAGCCCTGTCCATAGCCCCTCCCTCCCGAGGCTGAGACTCTGCCTGGCAGGCAAGTCTCTCTTTTCCTCCTTGGGAAAAGAACTAAACCTGCATGTGCACACAGCACCCAGGAAGTCAGCAGGGGAAGCTGTCCTGTGATTTGGCCCTGGCCGGGTGGGTGCTCCTGTAGAGTGGCCTGGAGAGAGGGGCCTGCTTGCTGCAAGAGCCCCAGGACGCTCCGGCATCTAGGCTGGACCAGCCTGCCGACTGCCCTCCAGCCAAATGCAGCCCAAGGGCTGGCCCTGGTTCCCTCCTTCACTTCACCAAACCCCCTCCTGGGCAGGCCCTCGGTTTGGCTTTGCTGTCCAGCACCAGTTTACCACTTTTCTGCTCTTTGCGCATGCCTGGCGCCTGGCCTCTCAGGATCTGCAGCCTGTTCCCCTGTGTCCTGACCCTGGCTGAGCTGGCGTGCCATGCTGTGAGGCCTTAGCAGGCTGTGGTGTGCACACTGATGGTGCCCTGGAGTTCAGCGTTGGCCCTTGTCCCATCTCCAATGCTGTGTGCCAAGGAAGCGTCCTTGTCCCCCTTCTGGGGCGTGCACTGGAGTCTCTTGGCTGCTGTGCAGAATTGAGGAGGAACGGACTGCATGACCTGGGGTCAGGGTGATGCTCCAGTCCTGAGGGGGTGGGGGACCTGGATGTTGAGAGATACCAAGCAAAGCAAAGTTGTGTGTCTCACACCCACACACCGCCTTCGCAGTCCAGAGAGCTGGTACACACATGCGTTTGTGTGGATGCGTGCGCACGCGTAAGCACACTGTCTGCCATCTAGAGTGCTCACACACACAATTGCACGTGAGTGTGGTTGGAGGTGCTGAGTGCCGCTGGTCGGTAGGAGGGGGCGCCTGCTGCTGCCTGCGGTTCCAGCCCAGCTGGGTGTGGCTAGTGAATGTGTGCACATCGGCCCTGATGCACTTCTGGGCCTTTGCATGATAGACTGCTAGGCAGGCTCCCTGCCTCTGGATTTCCAGCGGGCCCACGGCCTTCCCTCCCCTCTACAGGGGTCTGCCTTTGGAAGGAGTGTGCCTGGGCGGGGAGGGGGGACAGACAATGAGGAGGCAGCAATGCCTGGTCTATCTCAGCTTGTGGCTTACCAGCTGCTGCAGCGCACAGCCCGCCTGCTTCCTTGAGCTGATGGGCCCTCCTGCCATGGACTGGAGCCTCTTGGCCCTGGGCTGGCCTGGGGCAGCTGGTGTGGCTGCGGGCCGACTGCATGCGTGTGTGACACCACCTGTCCTGGCAGACAGCCTTGACGCCAGTGTAGGCTTCCTGTGATCTCAGCTGTCCGGTCTCAGGCCCTGAGCGTCCTCTCCTGGAGTGCCTCCCATGGACAGAGTCATCCCGAGGCTGGCTCTCAGTGCACATAGACTGGCTCTGGTGCTTCCCTCACCCACTCTGAGGCTCGGGCACAGCTGGCGTGGAGCGTGCACGGCCCAGGCACACGTGCCCGCTCATGCTTCTTTACCCCACTGCCTGCTTCCGGCTTTTCTCCAACTCTGAGTGTCCTCAGCGTCCTACTGATCCTCGTCCTCTCTGCGTGGCCTGGGTCCGAGGCTGCCTTCCTCTGGCTGCCCCAGCTGGCCCTGGCAGCCCTGTGGGTGTGCCTTTGCAGGGTGCATTATCGGTGGGGGCGGAAGCTGCTGCCAGAGGTTCTGTGGCCCCTCCAGCTCCTGTCCCTGGCTCTGGGGTTCAGCCTTCATCACTGGCTCTGTTCCAGCTGCCCTTCCAGGGGTCTGACTGGTCACCCCCTGCCCCCGAGGCAGGGCAGAGTGGAACTGTCCCCTAGGGTTTCTGAGAGAGAGCTTTACGGGAGCGTCCTCTCTGTGAGTGGCTGCTGGGCTTGAACTGCCTGACAGCATCACCAGAGTTGGGCTTGGAGGGCCCTTCCCCCCAAGTCACCTAGCGAGCCCGAGGGCGTGTGTGTCCGTCTCCACTCATTTGTACTTTCCTCCGCCAGGTCGCCATGGTTGCTGCTGGCCCCCTTGCTGTCCCCTGGGGTCCCCCAGGCCCCCTCCCCGCCCTGCTGCCTGTGTCCGGAGGCCGTGCACAGGTTCCAGTGGGTCCGCAGCCTGGTCCCTGAGTTCGGTGTCTGTAGCGCGCATGTCAAGGTGCTGTCTGCCCCGGCTGAGTTCTTCGAGCTTATGAAGGTACGTTGGGACGAGGCAGGCTCCTCCGGGAGCCCCGGGCTGTTGTTTGCCGCCAGGCTCGTGCCTTGGATGGTGTCCAGGGTGGGCCAGCTAGGGCAGGGCTGGGTCTTGGCTGCATGTGGAATATGGGTCCCTAACACAGGAGCCAGGACCGCGAGGGTGTGTCCCTGGGGTGGTGTCTGAGGAGACAAGCTTTGTGTAGCCAGGGAAGGAGAGCCGGTGGTGTCGCCTGTGAAGGACGTGCTGACTGGTGTGTAGGAAGTGTAAGAATGCTCCGGGGTCCCAGGCCCACACTCTTGGGTCACCCTCTCCTGGAGGGACCCTCTCCTGGGCTGATCTCTGCCGAGATTTCCTGCTGCTACAGGGACAGCCCTGGACACCTGGGGTGGCCAGGTGGGACGTGGTGTTGGAGACACACACAGATTTGTCTTTGTGTGGCTCGTGGGCTGTGTCTTCAGGGAATGCTGTCCGTGGGTACCCCTGTGGCTGCTGTGCCCTCTCCAGGTGCACCCACCTTTCTTCCGGTCAACTGACTCCAGAGTACATCTGTGCGCACCCTGCTGTGTGGCGTGTGCCTTATGTGGCATGTCCATGCCCCGCCCTCCACAAAGAGGAGATCTGCTCCTG